TGCTAAAACTTCTATGACAGCAAAGAAACTGTACTTGCAATTCTCGATTTTGTATCTCTATAGGTTCGTGAAATGCCGGTAACCCTGTAGATTAGACCATAAAGTTCGCTCCCAGAAAATTTTATTTAAAACCGGTTTCTTTCCAAAATAGCTTAGCATGCTTATAGGCTTTGAATCGGGGTCCACACTCTCAACCTATTATGGCGCAGAAAATGGAGTTTGCGCAGTATTCATCTACGAAGCATCCCTCCGCTCGGAGGAAAAAATTCCAAACTATCTGCTTAATAAATCTTCGTCAGGTTTTTTTTTCTGATCGCAGACTTGAAATAAGAGAAAACCTGCCGAGAATTCCTGGCATATTTTTGGGTCATCCTTTGATCCATGTTGGCGATAGGACGATACTGAAATAATTGATGAATCAAGAAGATAGAATAGGATCTTAATTTACTTGCACATTTTTACCATGCGCATCCTTTGTATCCCATTAAAAATGATGATAGCTATAATTTTTTTAACTTAAAGTCATTAAATTCCGAAAAATCTTTGTCTCCCGGAATTAGTCTGTCAGCTACATTGTTAGACTACAGGCCTGACTCTATGCCGGAATCATTGTGTTAACGTCTGTCTGGAAATGCCCAGCTTAAAGCTATTATCAAGAAAGACGCTCTGAAAAATTTTCCGATAGATCTTAAGTAAAAGCATTTATGAAATCAACTACGAGAATAATTAGGAAATAGCTATTTATTTTGACGGTTTAATTGTAACCGGGCTGATATTGGTTGTTTTGGGTCAAAACCCATTTTTGCATACAAAGGAACATTCAGCAAAGAGAGTTACCCTTTACTTCGTCGCTGCGTTTTTTCGTTGTATACATCACATTCTTAATAGTTTTCCCAACCATCTCTTGGTTACGGGAATTTTCCGTAGAATATGCCATTTACTGTATCTTATAGGAATTTTTTCTGTTTATAAGTAGGTTTCGAGACCTCTATGGCTCATATTTATTAGCTATCCTCACCCTATTTCGCCTAAAGTGATGAAGGACTGGTAATTGAGTTTTCCCACAATGCAAAGAGTGGACCTCATGTTTCCAGATAATTTTACATACGAAACTATGCAATGCACTAGCTGGGTTTAAGTTCCGCTGGGGGAGGTTGTGATGAGACCTAGGCGGACTCGAACTATGGTCCATCCTAGATGAGAATACCTTCTGAAAGCAAGGCTATGTGCAACTGAGCGGGAGCGCGAGGCCTAATCATAAGGTTTTGAAAAAATCAGCTACCAGTTCTGTATCACCATAAATTGAATAGGGTGAATGTAACTCATATTCATTCTTTTTTAACCTCGACCCGGCAAATTCACCGAAGTTTCATCAGCATCCTGGTCAGCAGCACCAATGAGTAGCACCACTCTCTCACTCGTTGACACGATGGCTACGCGTTTAAAGATCACATTGATGGAATGATACATTCTTTCTCGAGTCCCTCATTACTTTTATCTGCCTTGACCTATGTCCACATAAAAAGGCTATTGGAAGTAATCATGAAGTCATCGCTACATGATCTAATTGCTGCTTTATAATTTGGTCGAATGGAATCAAAATAGTAAAGTCATTCCTTACGTTATTAACAGGACAATCGTCTTCCACTTCTACGTGTGGAAGCGAAAGTTAGTTACAAATAAATCCCATTAAGAAATAGTAACAAAAGTTAAATCTCCCTATACCTACAAGCCAAATAACATTTAGTCAGCTTCAATAGTATACGAAGTTCCGGACTAGCATACATGAAATGTTGAGAATAAAATGTATACAGAATTACCCTTGATGCTTCTGGGGAACGGTTATCCAATAGGGCCTATAAAGAAAAATTCAAGTAGTGGCAAATGAGAATATGATAAGAAAACTAGAGGAAGATGTACCGCGAGTGATATCATCACGTTTCCGTGGATTGATCTGAAAACTACGTCAACTACGTAAACGATGCATTCGACTATCCTGAAAGAAGATACCACATTTTTCTCCAGCTCACTCCGGAAGGTTAGCTAGAATGAGCTAGCAACCTTGATAGTACGTAAACACAACGATCGCGAATTAGAGGAGATTGAAGTAGCAAGTAG